CCCGCATCGCCTCTTCGACCCTCTTCCACCAGTTACGACACACGTACACACAAGAGCGAACACGTGCTCGTGCTACGTGGAGGGACGTAGGGTAGTAGGCAGCCGTACACACGTTCGCGCGGGCAAGCACGCACGTAGTTGCAGTTGCGCCGAGTCACACGCACACATGTCCTCTTTCCAGCCCCGTCGTCGTCTACTACTCCACACCGCCTCCTCCGTCCACCGCCTCTTCTACCTCCTACAACCACCACCTCCTCCTCCTCCTCCTCCTCCTCCTTCCCTTTTCCGCATCCGTCCCTTTTCCGCTTCGAGTCGCGCTCCCTTGCTCCCGCACGCTCACGCAAACCCAGGACCTACGGACCTAGGAACCGCACCCCGAATATCGAGCCGCTCTCTCCAACGTCGCCAAATGCTTTTCGGGAATGCGGTCCGTCCGATATCTCTCTCCCTCGTCGCGGCCCGGCCACGCTCTCTGCCTGCATTTTCACGATCGTTCGCTCTCTCTCTCTCTCTCTCTCTCTCTCTTTCGAATCGAGCGGAGATTCGTGGCTTTGCTCCGCCGCGAAACACCACTGCCAAATTGAGCGCGCTGCAATTAATTTCCCCGTGGCCCTTTGACCCGCTCTTTTTTCCTCCGCTTCTTCGTTCCGTTTGCGTTCCCGATCACGCCGCCCCGAAAATTGATAGTTCCATTCCGCCCAAAGAATTTCGAGGAAAGTATTGTATTCTTCTTTCGCGCGAAGAAAAACTTTCCTGAAATTGATCAAATTGACCGAGATTGCGAAATGACGAGTCCATATCTTTTTCTTTCTCTTTTTGTTTGGAAATTTCCTCGAATATCGTATCGTAACATTCTTCTTCTTCGCGATTTGAATTATCGATTTGATTCGATCACTCGAAATTAAAATTTTGCTTTGGAATGATATCGAAATACTCGAACGGATAATTGAGATAGAAAAGATGTAGCGTAAAGAAGTTTATAAATCCTGTTTTAATACCATTTAAGCTATTACGGTTAGGCTACTAGATTTATTATAGATTCTTCTACGTCATTTCTCCCTTTTCAAAAGACTAAAAGATCCTTAAAATCTTCAAAATTTTCCAAATAATCTTTTAATTCTTGAACATATTCCTCTTTCTTTCTTTCTTTTTTTTTTTTTTTTGAAAAGTTATCATTTCCGTACAACGTGCGTACAATGGAATGATATATATCTTTAAGGAGGTACATACGAATAAAAAAATGCCAGCACGCTATTCAAAATAATAACTTCATCGTCCCGCGATAAAAATTTCAAGCAACAAAAAAGCAAAGTTGCAATTTTAATCAGCCCGTTCAAAAACTATTATCCTGAAACCCGCCCCCTGAAAAAAAACTCGTCGAGATCCCGACGAGCTTGCGCGCGAGAGCCGCGAGAATGAAAAGTCCCGAACTAGCTCGCTGTCAAGATTCCAAAGCGGCGCGTTGAAAGATTCATAGGGATAAACAGCGATGGAAAAGAGATGGGGGATGATGGTTGAAGAGGTGGGTGGAGGGGTGGTTGGAACGTCGGCGTCGCCGTTGACGTAACTTCGCGAAATACGTAATTAAATAGCGAGTCGATCCGTTCCATCGTCGAGTATCCCGCGGGGTACATTCCGATTTCTGCATTCTGCCTCCTCCCTCCCCTCCCCTCCCCTCTTCTCTCTCTCTCTCTCTCTCTGCTCTCCGCCGCCCCCTCCCTCTTCCCCCCGACCACCGCCACGGCGCGCTTCCTCCATTACCCTGGGCCGCGTTGCATATTTCAGCCATCCGATTTCCAGCCCTGTCACCGTTTCGCCCCGTTTTATCTCGCCGATAATTGTATTTCCGTTCAGCGCCGCTGATCAGACCACCGGCGCGCGGTCAACGTGTTCTCCGATATATTTATAATCGAACGTTCCGCCGGAAGGGGTGGAGTAACGTGGAATAATCCGCGGATGGATTCTGTGCGATGCTTGTTTTTTTTCTCTCTTTCTCTTTCTCTCTTCTTCTCTCTTTCTTTCTTTCTTTCTTTTTGGAGGGAGAAGGGGAATTGGCGGATCCCTTTGCAGATGGGAAAATTCTCGATATCGTTTTCGATTTTGATTTCTTGAATCTGTGAGATTAAATTAGGAATTAGGTAAAGGGATGTTGAATAATTGGTGTTGATTTTAAGGGTGAGTTTAAGAATTTTTTTTTTTAGATAGAAAGATAGGTAATTTGTTATTATTGTTTTTTTTGGTAGGTAATTTGTATTTCATTCGAAGGGATTTTTAAGCGAGGTGTGGAGGTGTATCGATGAGTTTTCTCGAGAAGAAATCGAAGGAATATTTTATGAAAAGGGGAAATTGATATAAAGGGAAAGAGTGGATGCTTCTTTTTTTAGAATGAACTAGAGGTGAACTAGAGGATTAAAGGAAATTCAATTTCAACAGTCTGTGAGATTAATTATCTGGCTTAAACTTAAACGCAAAGTGACGCGTCGCGGGACAATAGAATCAGATTCCGATATCCATGCATGTCTAAACCATTTGGCTTTTTTGCTCTCATCACGACTCGTATCGTGTACACATCAAACGGTCGCGTTTAACGTTTAACGAGATCGATTTCTTGATTCGATGATACAAAATGCATTTAGATAAAAAAAAAAAAAATACTTTCTCCCAAACCAATCATATCAATAACTCGATAATTAAATCAAAATTCAACATCAAATCAAATTCATCGCGCTACACTTATACTACTCTCATCTATATCTATACTTATATATATATATATATATATATATATATA